ATAATGTTCGTTGTGTGTGAAGTTTCTATAATGTTCGTTGTGTGTGATGTTTCTGTATGGTTGATTGTGTGTGTGGTGTTTCTATTATGTTCTTTGTGTGTGTGTGTGTGTGTGTGTGTGTATGTGTGTGTGTGTGTGTGTGTGTGTGTGTGTGTGTGTGTGTGGTGTTTCTTTAATGTTCATTGTGTTTGTGGTGTTTCTGTATGGTTCATTATGTGTGTGGTGTTTCTGTAACGTCAGTGTTGTGTGTGGTGTTTCGATTATGTTCGTTCTGTGTGTGGTGTTTCTATACTGTTCGTTGTGTGTGCGTGTGTGGTGTTTTGGTTATGCTCATTGTGTGTGTGGTGTTTCTGTATGGTTCATTGTGTGTGTGATCTTTATGTAATGTTCATTGTATGTGTGGTATTACGTTAATGTTTATTACCTAGCTCGAAAAATACGCCACTTTCATTCTGTCAAGGAGAGTCTGGGAGTCGGGGAGGGTGGAATATTTCACCGAGACTGACTGTGATTCGACAGAGATATACTGTCATACACCGTCACACACCGTTACATGGCGTCGGTGGCTTAGTGGTTAAGCTCTCGGACTCGCAACCGTAAGGTCGTGGGTTCGAATCCCGTCTGGGGCCCGACGTTGTGTCCTTGGGAAAGGCACTTTGAACACATTTTCCTCACTTCACCCAGGTGGAAATGGGTACCCGGCTATAGACAGTGAACGATCTTGTCAGTTTGATAGTGTTTGAGCGTGTGAAATCCGCAGCTTGCACTCTATGCTTCCGCAGAAGCCGAGAATGTTTCAGAGTGTTCTCAAAGGGTTTGCTGGGGTAATAATAGTTGTAAAGCGCAAAGAGCACGCTCTTGAGCATGGATATGCGCTAAATAAATGCAATTATTATTACATACCGTCACATACCGTACAGTCTATCACACACCGTCACACATCGTCACATACCGTCACACACTGCCACACAACGTAACACACTGTTAAACACCATCACACAACGTCAAACACATTCAGACAACTCTACACACCGCTGTGTATATTATGTGTGTATGTGTGTGCTTCTGTGTGTATATATGAGTGTATGTGTGTGTGTATGTATGCATGTGTGTAAGTGTTTGTGTGTGGGTGCCTTTTTGTACGTGTGCGTGTGCATGTGAGTGTGTGTGTGTGTGTGTGTGTGTGTGTGTGTGTGTGTGTGTGTGTGTGTGTGTGTGTGTGTGTGTGTTTGTGACGATCACCTGGAATGTCCAGTGTTGATCAATACTTTCCCCCAACTGCGAACAATAAACTTACTATCAGCCTTCTTTGGTTCTCTCCTACAGTTGAAGTGGAGATGTTGTTGTTGTTGTGTGTTGTCTGAAGTGGAAATGTAGAGTTCCCAGTTGTAGGATTGTTCGTTACTCTCTTCCAAGAGTAGAAACATGACCTCGATATGTTTAATTTCCTGTCATTTTGAACAGTTGGCCACTCCTTTTTAATCATTGTAAATGTCGCTGTGGTGTGGTTTGCTCCTTCTGTCCCATTCCAACATACATCAGCCTTATCTTTTTGTCCTTCTTTCCTTTGTTCTCTTTTCCTTCTTTCCTTTGTTCTCTTTTCCTTCTTTCCTTTGTTCTCTTTTCCTTCTTTCCTTTGTTCTCTTTTCC